CCCCCCCCCCCCCCCCCCTATTTATTTTGTAGTTAATAGTTGGGTTGTGCTTCATGTTCATTGCCCTTATATATACATCATTACATCAACTTGTATATGACACACAAGCCAGAGTTGTGCGATGTCTCTGAGGAGGTTCACCAACATGGCAAATGCCTGACAGAATAAAAAGCATCATCTCTTTGTGTGGTGGTGTATACGAGATGCGTACCTAAAACATTTCCTTTTATAGTTCCTGCTTTTTATTTGAGTGTTGGCAATTGCTCAATTTTTATATGGTGTGCACAAGTTTCTCTTTGTAATGCATTTTATTATTTATTATACATCCATGCTCTCTATACAGTATGTTTTTACCCCCTAAGAACACTCGCAAAATCAGAGAAGAAGAAAGCATAAGACGTTTTGAGGAGGGGGTTAGGGGGTACGAACCCTCAATTTTTTGATCGGAGCACCGCAGGTGTTGTTTAAGAAAAACAAGTGTTGTTTTTTGGGCATAGTCATATTTAAATAAAACAAGTGCACAATTGACTCAGTATGTCATTGGCAAAAATGTTGAACATTCATAGAACTTGATCACTCTTCAAATTTAATCTTTGATGCACTTATTGGAACTCCCAGATACTTCAAGGGAGTGCCTAATTCAAATCCATTGATTCGTCTTAATTGTTCCTTCTGAACCTCATTCATGCCTCCAAAGAAGATCAAAGATTTATTGGTATATATTGATATGGTGTTCTATGGTCTTAGAAAGTATATCCACTGAATTCTTTAAGTAGGTAACAGATCCTTATTAGCTTTACAGAACAACACAAGATCATTAGCAAATGCTCTGTGAGTGAACTTTATGGACTTCCATTTAGGGTGAGGTGAAGTAATTTTAAGCATGGCAAAGAAGTAATTTTAAATATTTTCTCTTCCCTTATATAGTTAGTTCACTTCTTTGGTGGAGAGAAGTGTTTTCGAATCAATGATCAACCTTTTTTTTCTCTGCCTCTCTATTTTCTTTCACAACAAAAAAAAAAGAATTGAAATTCGTGTTTTCTCTTCTTCCTCTTTCTTTCATTGTATTTCCCTCCATCCAAACATGGTGTTTAGGGAAAGGGGGAAGGGACCATTTGGGGGGAGGGTATGGCAGGAAGGGTGAGAGCATGGAGCTGGCCACAGTCCTCAATTCAATCAAGATCCTCAAAATATATTCCCTCTATCCAATAAAGAAATTCTCATTTTTTATTTGGATGTCTAAAAAAAATCAACTTTTACTTTTTCTTTAAAAGATACTTCCTATATTATATGTTGCATATATAACTTTTTTCTTCTAGACATATCTTACCTACACACTATTGAATGTTCAACATTTTTTTAAACTTCGTCAAATCAAACATTGAAATTCTTTTCAAGAAGTATATAGCATATCGTGAACACCATCTTTTCTTTAACAAAAAAGACTTAAAAATGTAATCTTTTCTTTTGAAAAAAATGGTATCGGCATTGAAATATCACCAAAATCTTCATACATGGAAATATATATTAAGCCAGGTGTACCATGTTCCTCCACTTCTTCCGAGAGGACACCGAGTCTCCTCCTGTATTACCTCCCATGATGAACTGACACCCCAAATACCGTCGATTATGCCTTTCATCCTCATCTAGATCTTCGCAGTCTCTTCCCAAATGCCTTCTCCCATCCGCCTGTCCTTCCCCATTTGTAATTGCGGCGGCGGCAGCAGCTGGTCTCCGCCATGTCCTGTTTCCGGGTGCTGGTCACTCCGCTCGAGGCGGTAGTTCCCTACCTATTAGCAGATCCATCTCCTTATTCAGCGTAACGCACTCCGACGTATTGTGGGTGCTGTTACGGTGGTACTCGCAATATTTTAGAGCATCTTGGACACTATAGCTTTCCCGGCTACGGGTAAGGGCTGGTAAGGATTGGACCGCGTGGACTGGCGGCCTGCTCGCCTGATAGCCTGCAGGATTCGAGCCCCTTCCAAAATCCTTCCTCTTCCTGCCATCACCTGCTAGCTGGACATTCTTCTTCTCCTTCTGGGCAGGCGCCTCATCGTCCTCTTCTTCCAACGCTGGGTACTTTGCTCTAGCCAACATCTCTTGGTATGTAGGAAGCGGGTTCCGCCACAGCTCCTTGGGCACATTCCCTGCGGGGAGTGCCGCTTGGAGCATGGTGATCAGAGCCTGGTCGTCCGCACCTTGGACGTCCCTAGCCTCCTTCTCCCATCGAGTGATGAAATCCCGGAGTTGCTCCCCCTTTCAAATCTTGACGTTGAGTAGGTGGGAGTAGGGGAGCTTTTGCCTCTGGCTCGATGCAAAATGTTCCAAAAATTTGTGGGCCAAATCCTTCCGATCGTCGATCGATCCCCTCGGCAGCTTGTGAAACCACTCGTAGGCTTGTCCTTCCAAGGTTGCCAAGGAACAGCAGCACCACATTCGCCTGAAAACGTGCGAGGTGATCCTCGGGATCAGTCGTCCCGTTATATGCCTTGATGTGAGGGGTCTTAAAATTCTCGGGGAGAGGGCACGACATTACCCTCTTTGAGAAGGGGGTCACTTCATCAAACATTGCCTTGCGATAGGATTTCGGGCGTCCAACCGTTTCTCTAGTCGGTCGATTGTCTTCCATAGCTCGACTGTGTCCTTGTCCACAATTACCTTTTCCCTTCCCTCCGAGTGGGCCTTGGACGTCGCCGAGGACTCATCCCTTCGTTCCTGGAGCTTTTCCCTCAAGTCCCCCTTCTGGGCTAACCGGTTATCTTGTACCCGGTCGAACGCGGACGTTCGTGGTTTCTTCTGTTTGTGGTCCCCCAACCGATCAAAAACGGAAGCCAGCTCAAACGAGGATGATTCCCCTTCCTCGTACAACCTTGATAGGTCGTCCTCTATCATCGCCTTCCCATTGGGCTTAGTCGCTTTCTTCTTCTCAGAACGCTTGGTCGTTTTCTTCTTCTTTCCCTCAGATCCTGTGTAACGCCCTGCAACCCGGTCTAATAGAATTGTTTGTTTTAAATAATTAATTACTGTTCCGGACCGGAGTTGGAGCCATACCGACGGTCACCACCGTGACGGTCGACCGCCGATCGCGACGGAAGACCACGGTGGACCGCCGGCATCCCAGTCCTCCACAATCTAGCCCACGGTCGACCGCCGGTGGGGTACGGTCGACCGTTTCCTGGACAGTTTTTCGGACAGTTTGTAGAACGAGCCCCGTTGATCATATTGACTCAGAATCTTGTTCTATGTTTGTATGAAATGTTAATCTTCATTATTATGTTATTTAATTGATATATTCTTGGCGTTGGCCAAAGGTAAATATATCAAGCATTCATCATGTTCATCCTAGACGCATGTACTAGGTTCATCATCACGTGCATACCACTGTAGGGAGGTCAGGCTTTCGTGCGCCTACTATAGTGGGCCCGTCCAGGAACCTTTGGGATCCAACGGGTTTTCATCAGGTGGGCTTTGTGTACGTACATGGTAGTCAGGCTACGGCTACCACCCAGTTTTGCTAGTTCACTTGCGACATTTACGTCGAGCCCGGCTCATTACCGGAGTGCAGGGGTGATCCTGTCAAGTGAGACTAAGCCAGGGGTGTCCCTGATAGTTTAAGTCATGCATCAAGTCATATCGTCATCATGTGTGTTCTATGTCATGTCGACATTCAATGTGGACGTCATCATCATGTATGCTCCATGTCACATCAACATTCAATGTGGTTGTTATTCATTTTGTTATGTGTAATAATATCCCATCAAGTGCAAATTAATCAGTTAGTAAACATGTAGTCTTTCCGTACGTTAAGTACAGGTATTAATATGTGTATAATCATATGGGTTATTACTTCATGTTCTTTTGTTAGATTCACTCCTTAGCTTTTGCTGAGCGTGTAGTTGTTTTTGCTACACGCAGGTAGACATGACGGTACAGGTGCCAACCTTGGAGGACAGTGATGATGGGAAGATGGGCGGCGCTCGGACGAGTTTAATAATTATAATCATTTGAATTAATCATTTTGGGCATGAACCCACCCTTGTCATTTATTTAATTTGGACTGGACTTAATTATTTACTTCCGCTTTTACTCTGCACTTTTAAAACACACGTTTTGGGAATAACTCCCTGGCATTTATTTCACTAATTAAAACCCAACCGTTTTCTTATTAAATATTCATTAATGTTGTACGTTACAGACGGTTCTTGCACCGCCCATGTAACCCCACCGGTCCGTCGGGTCGCGGGTGAACTGGGTCCACGGAAGGCGGGTGTTACATCCTGCACGTCTGACCTTCCCCCCGGCCAGGGCCGCCACCTCATTGAACAGATCAGACGTGATCCCGATCCACTGGATGAGAGCTTCAGCTTCTGTCACGCTGATAGGGATGTGACGGCCCCCGGTGACGCTAGTTCCCCCTTGATGAGGATTTCCGATGGGCTGATTAGCGTTACTGCGGGTTTGCACAATTGTTCTCAGGAAGGTTTCTTCTTGAGTGAATTTCTCGAGCTCTCAATGAAAGCACGAATTTGATGGACAAGAATTCCACCAACTAATCTGACTCGATGGGCGGATTGTAAAGATAATTTAGAAACAAGAACTCGAGAGTTATGGAATTGTACACTAGGTTTAGCTTGAGGATCCTTGTTGCGATCCCCTCTATTTATACATATCTCTTTACATAATTAAGGTAACTATCGATTATGGAAGCTAATTCCCGTTATTTGCGCGATCCTATTCTTCCGGCTCTTTTCCCGCAACCTAGCCACGTTCCCCTTCTCGACAGACGAACTCCCAACGACTCTTTCGTTCGGGTCAGCTCAGGCCCAAAGCCTCGGGCCGGTCCAATAATGGTATTGGGATATCCACAGGTCCCAAACGCACCTGGGCACACGGGTTGGGCTACCCGGTAGGTAACGGCCCATCAATACCCTTACAATCTTGTGTTCATTTTGGATCTAGGGTTTCCTTGCTAGGATTTGTTTGTATGGTTTCATCCACTAACATTTTTTCTATTTTCACATGTTAATTTGTGGTTAATATGGTTTTTTTTAAAGATCTTTGGGAGTTATGTGATGAAAATTCAGATCTTGTGTTCATGTGAATCTTGAAAAGCTAGAGGACGAAATTTTGATCTTCATTGTTGCACTACTGCTACCCTGGGAGTGCTGCTCAAGCCACTGACATTCTCTCTTGCTTCCATTTTTTATTTTTATTATTAGGAGTACTTTTATTTACAAAACTTTTTTGTGTAAGAATGGAAAGTCTTTGGATTATGTGTGGTGCTTGATTTCATGTATATTTGATTGTTTGTTTAATTTGGACTATGTTTGGTGCTTGATTTCATGTATATTTAATTGTTTGTTTAATTTATGTGTGCCGGCTATGGATATGGGATAGGGGTGAGGAGCTCTAGTACATTTCATTTAATAGAGTGAAGGGCAATTTGGGAAGGTCAATGCCATTCTTTTCCCTTCCTTAATTATGAAAAAAAAAGGTAAATATTGAATCTTGGATCCCACTTACAAACAAAACGTGAGGAGCATTTGTAAAATTTGCATAGAATTTGCCTACCTATATGAAGAAAGTAAAATTGGCTAACTTTTAATATGGAATAGAAAGCAACAAAAAGAAAATAGGAAAAGAAAAAGAAAAGAGGGTAGTCCGTATAAACCAAAAAAGATGAGTCCCAACCCCGAGGTAGATGGGACTTGAATCATATAAACCAACGAAAAATGGGTGGAAGATGTTCCTCGAAGTGTAAGCAAATCCCATCCTGCGTGGACATGATATCCTCCCAATTCCCTTTTAATCTTTTGTGCCATCACCTGTTTCTGAAACAAAAACGAATTATATGTTTATATTATATTATTCTGTCATGCAGACCTTCACACATAAGCCAGAAAATAAGCAAGCAAATGAAACACTAATGAAGAAGAACACTCCGGGTAAGTGTTTAATACTAAGGTGGGCAAAAGTAACACTCCTTGTTATGTCAAATTCTACCAAAGTGTCATATTAGGACATTTGGTTCATTATATTTAATTTGAGAGCCATACGTTGGTCAGTTTGACCGTGGAGTGATTCCTATCCCTCTAGGATCATCTTTAGTAGGGTCGCTTAGATGCTTGGCCGGTCCCGAAACTTCTAAGGCCCGACACGAGACCGGAAAAAAGGACTCTTAATTCCGACCAATTAAAACATAATTAAAAATTTCGATTTAAAAAAAAATACTCGTACTTCTTTATTTTTTAATGATGACAATAAGTTCTTTTGTGTACGTATTCATATTTATTTTAGATTAAAAAATAGTTTTTATTTATTTATTGAACAATTTTTCAAAGTTTATAAAACAATTATACTACTCCGTATATAATTGTGTTTTTTTATTAAAAAAAAAACAGGAGTTTTATTGAAATCAATACCAAGTATATAATCTTATGCGCAAACTTGAAACAAGGTTGGTAGTTCAAGTGAAGGGGAGTCACCAAATGAAGGGGCCTAGGGGAGTTGGGTGGGATGCAGAGAATGGGCTTTGGGAGGGAGTTGTGAGGAGCTAGTGAGGGTAGAAACCACTTCACTATCAACAGAGCACCGTAGTGCCTTTAAATAGACTAGTGTTTATTATGACACCAGTCCTTGTGTTAAAAGAACCGATACTGTTATACTAATAATTATTTGTACTTTGCTTTTTATTCATTGTTTCTGAATAGGAATTTTTTTCCGAATATAAATCACAATCAAATCAAATTCATTCTAGTTTATAGAGATATATTCACCCAAATAATAAAGGAATTATGCTTAACCCCATAAAACACTCCACCCCTTCACACACACACACTTCAGAGTCTGTGAGGAGCGTGGGGTTGCCCAAATAAAGAGAGGACTGCCCTTAGCTCATCCCTCCAAAGATGACCCCAAATATCATTCGACCACTTCATAGACATTCGCGAACATTGTTTAGTGTTTGTGTTCTGAGGAATGTGGAGTGAAAATTGAGGTAATGACCCTACTATTGTCCCACCTATATTAAAGTTCTTGTGTGAAATACACCAGACAGCCAATGCGATTTTTAAGTCATGCCTCTCACCATTAAATACAAGGCTTGCTTCCCTTTGATTAATCTGAGTAGAATGGATCTAAATTTAGAGCAAATTAGGCAAGCACTAACCTCATGTCTATCACACATTGAAGCGAAAAAGCATCACATCCCCTTCTTGTACGACATACTCTTTCCCCTCTAACCTCAACTACATAAACCAATATAGATTCATATAAACCTGGCTATGTATTCGTGAGTAACAAGAAATTAAAAGGCAAACATAAATTAAAGAGCAAAATAATAACAACAAAACAGGATATCATAAAAGAGAACAAGAACACCACTCAGAAACACCGACTTACAAGTCCTTTCTCTCTTGCAGCTGCAAATGATCCAGCAGCAACAAAATCATCATA